GAATAGATTATACATCATATTAACCTTATATTATAATATAATTGAACGTGCACAAATGTGGATTCTTTTCTTCTTTCCTTTCCACCTCTGACAACCCCCTCCTTCCTTTTAGCTTTTGGCAGAGATATGGACCAGTTGGTCAATCACTAGATAGCTTATGTACATGAGGAGGGCTTCTGGGTAGATTCACCAGAAACTGCACTGGTGACAATCTCTGGGGAGTGGGAACTGGCCAAGTGGGGGATGGTGTCCTTTCCTTTTCAGTCTGTACTCTTGGGGCCGCGGATTTAGTTCAGTGGTTCTGCCACCTGCCTCACAAGCACAAGGACCCAAATTTGATCCCCGGTACCCCCCCAACCCACAAAACAATAACAACAACAAAAAAAAACTCAGTCTGTACTCTTGGGCTATTTGAATTTTTTTCTTTTTCAATTAAAAACAAAGAAAGCAACAGTGGCCAAGGGCTGGGAGTGGGAGGCGGGCCCCATGGAGGGGTCATCCTGAGTTCAAAGCTGGATATGAAGGCGTAGCTACAGCCGGGCACATGGGGAGAGGGGCCAGGCCCAAGTGAACAAAGCAGCCCCTTCCAGGGAAATCCTGACCTGGTGTCCATTGTGGAATGACAAATGGCCCTTCCGCCACCATAATGCAGAGCCACGCTCACAGTTATGATTCCTGCCCGAGGCTCTGTCTTTTTCTACAAAAGCTGCTCACTCTGGGGAGAGCTGAGGACAAAGAACCAAATGATTCTGAGGGACTGTCTTGCCCAGGAAAGGGAAATATTTGCAGGCGAAGATCACCTTCCTGTCTCACAGTCCCCCAGACCAAAGTCCGATGTGCCTTATTTGAAGAATGATACTGGCTTTCCCTGGGCCTGACAATGCATTTTAATGGACAAAGGCTGCAGGAGGCGGTAGAGAAGAGCCCAGTGCGTATTCGACTAAGCCCAGGCTTTACCCATGTCCAACAAAGACATGGCCATTGCTGTTCATAGGTCCTGTAGGGTCTGACAGACCAGACTGGAAAATTGAGCTGACGGATCCAGGGCAACACAGTTCTGAGTCTTCCTGCACCCTCTCACTGGTGAAAGACCACACAGATAGTTTTTCAGGTTTCTGGTAATGGACATTCGCCGGGGCCAGATGAGGGACAAAATTGGCCAGTAGCCCAGGGTCCTCTATGCCTAATTTTGTAGTTTTCCCCCTTTTCATACAGGTGCAGGCTACAAAGCAGTAATTACTGCTTTACTACAAAGCAGTGATTCTCAAGGATTAGTTGCTCCCACACTACCCCCTCTATCCCAGAACTTCTGGAACAGGAGGTCAGAGCTCTGAATTTGTTTCTAAGCAGTTCCCTATGCTGCTGCTGCCTTCTCACTTTTACCCATGCTCCGAAGGAACACACAGAGCAAACAATGACAAATGGCACTTGATCCTTGACTCCAGATAACTACGTGGGTGAGGACTGTGATAGGCTGGAGAATGTCCACCTACAGGGAGGAGTTAGGACAGTGTCTCAGGGGTCCATACAACATAGGAACAGATGGGTGTGTGGTGTTTTAGTTCTTTTGATTTCTTTTTTGGGGGAGAGGGACTAAAAAAACAGCCAGAAATATGGATTTTTCTGTGAAATCTTATCTTTGGCCATCATTGGCAAATGCCTTTTAAAAATTTTAAAACATTGTGCAAGCCAAACAAAATACATATGCAGGCCAGATTCCACCCTCTGGCTGCTGCACTAGAATACAGAGAAGATTCCCATGGAAAAGAGACAGGAGCAGAGATCTCTGAGCCAGAGGGCCTCTGGGCCCTTTTTGGGGTAGGGATGGGCTGGAGGATGTCAGCCTGACCATATCTCACTAGCAGAGACCCCCCTATCCCTTCCTCCCACCCATCATGGTCACACCTAGGCCCATATCTAGGCCTCATTGCTTCCCCCACCCCACATTTTGAGATTTTTTTTTGAGGGGTACCAGGGATCAAACTCGGAACCTTGCACATACATGCGAGGCAGGTGGTGGAACCACTGAGCCAAACCCTGGGCCCACCCCGCTGTTTACACTCCAGCCACACTCAAATCTTGCAGAGTGTACTTCTGAACCTCCTTTCAACCAGGCCTTTTCTGACCTCTGGGCTTTAGCGTGCATAGTTTGCTCTGAAATTCTTTTATTCCCTTTTCCAATCTGCCGTAGTTCTCACTTGTCCTTCAAGGGCCTCTTCAGCTGTCACCTCCTTGGGACCCTCCATTACCACTGCTTACAGCTCTGTGAATCTGGAGCCCCCTTGTGCTCCACTAGGCTGCAAAGGCCCTAAGATGTTTCCACCTCCTCCACTGACCTGGGTATCCAGGAGGCCCTGTGTTTCCAGGCTGAGCTCAGCCAGTGTTATTCCACACCAGTGGAATAACATTTACCAGATAATGTTTTCTTGGCCTTGGTTTTTCTCTTGTCTTCTTTCTGTTTGCCTGCCTGCTTCCTGTTTTCCTCCAAGCCTCAACTCAGACTTACTGACCTTCAAGACCAAGGCAGGCTGCTTCTTTGCCTGGTAACTCTACAGTTTGACGGCTTCCCCCAACTACCTCTGTATCTCTCCATGAGGGCACAAGTATCTCACTGACACAGGGGCTGCAAAGACAGAGGAAGCACTATGAAATGCTTGTAGGACCCAAAGAAGAGGAACTGAACTAAACAATGGATAAATGTTCCAAGGTGAGGATGTAAGGTCTGTAAGATGCTGTGCATAGTCCTAGCCGCTGTTCCTGGCTGGTACGTCCTGAACATGTAGGGCACAAGGTATTGTGCTCGAAGTAATTTTTGACAATCACTTCTCTCAGGACATTTGGTGGTTCCCAGAAACCTCAGCCAAGGTGGCCTCTTGGCACCCAGGTCTACTGTGCAAGCACCATGATTCAACTATCCCATACCCACCCCAGCCTTCCTCCTCATGGTGGTCCTAAGCCATATGCTATCCAGCAGGCAGTGCAGAGAGAAGGGCTTCTCTGAACTTCAGGGGCCAAGGCAAGGTGGAACAGAGAAGGCATGGGCTTTCCCACCTCTCAGCAGGCAACAACAGGGTGAGTGAATGGCCATCTTCTTGGGAATGGCCTCCCTGAATCCTGGAACAGCCAAGGGAACCAAGAGACCCAGCCTAGTTTCATCAAGTTTGTCCCAGGCTACTTTGCTCACCTACCATGCTAAGATCAGAAATGAAGGTGGCCATTAATACTTGTTTTGTGTACAGAGTCCTCTCCTTCATTTTCTTTTTGCTTACCAGTTAAGGGCTACCTCTTTCAGAAAACTGCAATCCCCTCTTCTGAGTGGTCATAATCTCTCCAGCCCTGACCCCATCCCTTTCTTTGTCAGCCCTGAGCACACCACTGTCACTGTTTGTGTGTTTCCACCACAAAGACTGCGGTATGCACGGTGGCTAACTCATATCCTCTGCTACTCAGGGAACCTCTGTAAGGTCACACAGTGAGAAATCCTCTTTATGAAGCAGGATTGGAAAGTGTGCTGTGAATAGAAGCTGAATTAATGTGAAATCTGAACAGCACCTGGCACATGGAAAGCATTCACTAGTATTAGGAGATGGTCAACAAATGCTTCTGCGGTTACGGGATGAAGGAAGGAAAAAAGGAATGAAGTAATGGACCAAGTATAAGATAGCACATTCAGAGAGTTTCAGTGACCCTAAACAGATATTTGATGTATTCTGTTAGTGCCCAAAAGAAAGCTGGGGAATGAGGATTGTCCTCCTGGGACAAAGTCCCTTGTGGACAGAGAGCAGGTCAGGCAGGGAAGAAAGGCGGAGCCTATCTGAAGGCTTCCTCTCCCACTGATTAAGAGGCCTTGAGACTTTGAAAGGCACAATGTAACACGCCATTTCCCTCCAGGGTTTTTCTCATCAGTGGCTGCTCCAAGGACATTCTTTGCTGACCCCTTCCCCTTTCCATCATTCCAAACAGTACTCAGATAGCAGTCCTGACTGCCTTCCCTTCTGATGAATAAACAAGGTGGGGAACAGTTGTCCAGGTTAGGGGTCTTTATCCTCAGACAGAGCACATCAGCCACTATCCTCAGGTGCTCAGCTCTCTCCTTTTTGTAAAGACAGGGGCCCTGGGAGAGCACTCTTGCACGTTTCTTCGCTTCTCTGAGCCTCAGTCACCAAATAGCAGTTCTTTCTAAGCCCTCTCTCACTAGTCTATCGAGTACAATGACCGGCCCGGGGCAGGGTGAGCAGTAGACCCACCAGAAAGACCCTTGGCAAATGGAGGGCCGAATGGTAAACAAGACAGCTTCCAGGCTGAACATAAATCAGCTCTGGACCCAAGACTGACAAGGAGACTGAAAGTACCCTGACCTCTCAGCACTCCAGGACGTTGACCGAAGCCTGGGGTTGACCTTCCGGAGTTTGCTGTGGTGGCACTAATTGGGGTCTCCTGGTCACCAGCTTCCCACACTTGGGGAATGAATGGCTCAGACCCCCCTCCAACCCCCACCCCTTGCTGCTTCCTCTGCCTGGGCAGTGGGGACACTGACCTCCCATGTAGGTGCTGGTCAAAAGGTCCACAGGAAGTGGCCAGTGGGCCACAGCAGAGACCAAGCTGGCCCTGCTCTCTAGAGCTCACACTTCAGAGTGGTTCCCTGTATTTCTTCTTTCTTCCCTTCTATGGAAAGCCAGGGGAAAATAGAGCCCATTTTCTTGTCTGGAATTCCTGCCTATCCCTCAACTGCACTACTCTGGACGTGTCAGCGTCATCTTACTAAGACTGTTTATCTGTAAAATGGGCAAACTCCGTTCTGTCTCAAAGGCTACACACAGTGCAAACTGCAACCTGCACGAGGGTCCCTTCTGGTCCGCTCCCCGACTGCTGCTGCCCGTCCTGGGACTGGGAGTGGGAAGGTCCGCAATCCCTTGGGACACAGGGGCCCTGGCTCTACTCCCAACCAGCCCAGTCCTAGGTGGGTCGTATCCCCCGTATCCACGGCCGCAAATCCTCACCATGCACTTGCGGTCATCTATGCCCGTGAGATCCTCCTCAAACTCTTTCCCAACCTCGAAGTTCATGATGTAGTTCCTGAAAGTGCTCAGGGTGCGGATGATCATATGGTCACCATCCTGCTCTATCTCTTTGTCTGGCTTCAGCAAGTTGGCGATTTTGCGCAAGGCCACATTGACATCTATGAGGTGCACGAAGAGAGGAAAACTCAGAGAACCGTTCCCAAAGGAGTGAAGTCCCAGGAGCGGAGCGGTCGCGCCCAGGAACACAGTTGGGATTTTCCGCTTGCTTTGAGATGTCTCTGGGACCAGCCTATCTGTACTTTTTTTTTTTCCCCCCCTTTTGGCAACAAAGTTTTCTGCCCTCATGCTAACCCCTCAGTAAGAACAAAAACTAGCAACTCAAGCCCAGCTTTGCTAATTACATTATCCACGTTCAGCGCCAAGTAGCAGACACTTGCCACCAATTAAGCCTAACAACCCGGATCCCCCAGCTCGAAGCCCGCTGGTCGCCCTCCCTGGCGCGGGGGTGCCTGGGTGTGTGGGGGGACTGTGGGAGGCGGCTCAGGAGGATCCTGCGGAGGGCTCCGGGCAGGGCCCGGCGACCCCCGGATAGCGGAGGGCAGCGCTTACCCAGCGCCCGGAGGTACTCCTCGAAATTCTCGTTGCTGTGCATCTTCCAGTACCCGGTGAAATCCACTGGCATTTTGGGGAGCGACTGGGGACTGGCGGCCACGCAGCGGGAGGGAGCGGCTCTTAGCTGGGCGCCGGCAGCGGCTGTAGACGCGATCGCACTGTTGGGCGGCCCGGAAATGCTCGCCCTTGGGGGACAGGAGGCTCCTTGGGGCTGCTACTACAGTTGGATACCAAGAGCTCACAAAGCCCGAAGGAGGATCCATTATGGCAGTCGCTGGGGGCTGGAGGGCAGGTTTGGCCCTAGCCGAGGGCCACTTTCGCTTCAGACTAGCAGTTCACTTCCCGAGAAAGGAAAAGGAGATGGTGGGAGGTGGGGGTTGCTTTACTGGCCCTAACTCTTGGGCTTCTGAGGGACTCCTTCAAAGATTGTGAACTTCTCACATTCGGAGGCCACTTGAGGACTGGAAATCTGTCCCCTCTGGTCTGCTGGGCTGATAGAGAAAGAGGCCACTTTTCGGGCCTTTGTCTAAAGCTCCGTGGGCGGGCAGTGCTGCACAGGAGGCCAGGCGGGCGGCGGGGTTGGGGGGGGGATGCTGGGCTGTTCAACCTGGGGAAAACTGGGGGTCACTTGCCACATCGATTTGGAGAAAGTGAAAGCAAAGTTGTTGTTATTTGAAGACAACTATTAAAAGCCCTCTAGGAGATTCTGATGCAGGATCAAGTTTGAGACCCACTGCCTATGCTAGTATAAGCAATTAATTATTGCTTATTTTTGTCTCCCTGCTCACTTCCTGGCAGCGCAGTCCTTCTCAGTGTTTTGCGTCTTGCTTTGTACACTTAATGTAGTCTGAGGTCCTTCCCTGTTTCTGCCCTTGGAAAGCAGCCCCACTGTTTTGATGGCAAGCCATTGTTTATCCAGCCTGGCCCTTGTTGGGAGACATTTCTGCTGCTTCTGAGCCTTCGGTATTAAAAGCAGTACTGTGCAAATGTCTTTGATCCTGTCTCATATGTCACCTGTATAGGTCTGTCATAGTGCTTTAAAACGGCTCTTTGCCTCCAACGAGATGACATAATCATAGTGGTTGACTTTTTGACCCTCTATTAAAGACTAAATATCTCTTTTAAAATTGCTTTTAGCACAAATCACAGCCTAGGTGACACTAGGTACATTTTCTTTCCTTCTGGCAGCACTGCCATGCCTTCCCCACCCCCAGGGCTCTGGTTAGTCCCTGCAGTGCATTTAGATGATTTAGGGAAAGACTCCCCTTCCTCAGGGAGAGGCAGTTTCCTCCCAGGGAGTGATTGGGATCTCAGCTCCTCTCCTCTCCCTTGCTCCACACCAGAGATTCTGAACCTTAGCGTTATTGGGGTTTGGGACCAGACACCTCTTCATTATGGGCACAGGAGTAGGGCTGTTTTATGTCTTGTGGAAGCATCCCTGCTTCTATTTATTATTAAGTCCCAGGGGCATCCAGAGATGACTCAGGCATTCCCAAGTTTGGGCCCTGGTGGGACGACAAAATTGCCCTGGCTGGGTGTCACAGCTGTACCCCTGAGGGCCCCTGTTATCCTCTTGTCCTTCCTTGGGCTCTGAGGTGGTCAGGCTGTTGTTCACACAGACACAGGCTCTGTGCCGCTCCCTAGCCAGCCCAGAGTTCATCTTAGCTGAGAGGCCAATCCCAGCCTATCCCAGCCCTCCCCGAAAGGTACAAGGAGACACATGTGTGGTTCATTCAGAGGCACAATGGGGCCTGATCTTGCCTGAATTGCCTAAAATTCATAAACAGGGATGGCCACTGCCTTTCTTTGCCATGTTATTCTGAGTTGTGGGAATGGAAGATGGGGCAAAGGTTTAAACGTGAACTGGCCATTCGTTGGCCACCCCCTGACTAGTCTGAAGATTTCTTTCTTCCCTGTGGCACCATCCAGCTCAGCTACCTGGATTTTTCACCCCTCCAACCTTCTCCCTTTGCTGAGTTTTGAGATGGTTTGTGCCCAAGCCAATGTGGTAAGGGCCAAGTCAGTTCTGGTCCCCTGCTGTGCCTGGAGTGGCCCTTTCATGCTCTGGCCAGAGGACTGATCCTTTCCCCAGCTCTCCAGGCCTCCTCTGCCCACACAAACAACTAAGACCTGGCCATTTCTGTGGACATTCCTGATCTGACCTCTGTCTTCTGAGCTGGCTGCCTGAGGTCATAGCACACAATTCCACTGCCTTTACTTAGTATCTGCTTGTGTCTTTGTCTACATTCCTAAAGAGGTTAATGTATACCTTCCTGTTTTAGTTGCTTTCTCATACTCATTCATGATCTAGTCATTCCCCAAAGCCCAGACCTATGAGTTCATGAGGCTGTAGGGGGACATGTAGATACAAGTAGTAACACTGCCCTCTGAGTGTCCTGTCAGAGGGCTGTCCCAGGTATGGCCCCTTGCTGACTATATCTTTTGCAGCCAGGAGTAGGTTGCACATATTGGTTTTGTAGGCAGACAGATGCTGCCTATGTCACTGTCTTGCTGAGTGATCTTAGACAAGTTAATTAGCCTCTTTGTGTTACTGTCAATTATGGGCCTGGAGATGGGTTCCCAGATTCTTGTGTATGACAAAGAATTGGATATAGCACACAGCAAGGAAACAGTGGTGAAAGTACACTTGGAGTAAGTGCCTGCAAAAGGAAAATGGCACTGGCTCTGAGGGTGTACAGTGCAGGGCTTTAAATGTCCCACCTGCTTTAGGGCACCTCCCATGGGGTGGGGATCTCTGGAGCATGGCTGACAGCATGGTTGACAGGGTGTCTACTGCATCTACTACACATGTCCTTTTCCATAATTTGCTCTGTTCTAATTTTATGTATAAGATGCAGTTCATATGCATGTACCTTCAATAAGCACCAGGAAAGAAAGGTTGCTGTAAGTCACACAGGGATGACTAGTGTCTCTGAGCCTTGGTCTGAATATTTGTCATTTTCCTGGGTGGGCTGGGATCTTTGTTTTTCATATCTCTACTGCCCTGTGGTAAGCCCTGAAGCGGGGTTGAGACTTGGTCCAGGGGCATTGTCCAGGTTCAGGTGAGTGGAGGGGAGAGGTTTGTAGTACCTAGCGGGGTTGAGACTTGGTCCAGGGGCATTGTCCAGGTTCAGGTGAGTGGAGGGGAGAGGTTTGTAGTACCTAGTGGCGCTGTCTATATTATTTGTTACTCAGTTCCCACATCTATAGAATGGAGATGCTAAGTACTTTCCTCTCAGGGTGGTGGGACATAATGGCGATAAAAACATAAGGTGTGTGGCACAGAGGTCCCTGCAGACCCACTGACATTTGAGCCAGAGAAGGCTTAGAAGTGAGGGAAAAGGCAGAAAGGCAAGAGAAGGACGCTGCTGATCTGTGCCCCTTTCTGGGACCTTAAGATCAATCCAGGAGGAGTGGCTATGCTCTGTGGAAGCTTGGGCATCGTGGTGGTTCCTTCCTCTGCCACCTCCCTCCTGCTTACTCTAGTTCATTAACCAGAGAGCACTTCCTGGAACTGCTTTCTGTCCATGGTGATATTACTTGGGATGTACAAAGCAAAGGAACAGCAACTTGGAAGAGTATGTAGAGGAGAGGGTTTGTGTGTGCTGGCAATCCTGAGGGATCCTGGGAGCAGGATGCAGCTGGTTCTTTAGGACTGCCAAGATCAGAGCGGTGAGGAAGAGGAGGAGACAGTACAGGAAGAGACAAGGTGTGCAAAGGAATGTAGAGGGAAGGAAGGGACACACTTGTTAGAGAGAGGGCTCAGGCCTTCCCACTGGGGACTGAGAATTCGCCGTTTCATTCCTTAGCTGATCAGTTAACTCCATGGGAATGTGAGAGCTCAGGGAAGCTCTTTCAGGAAATGATTCCTCTATCCCTCACTTGCTGGTTTTGGAGCTGGACAGTCCTCTGCCCATGTTACTGGCAGACCAAGCCCTTAGTGCAGGGTCCCTAGGTGCTGGAGCTGTAGAGCATCCCAAGGGCCACAGAGTGGGAGCAGAGACCCCGAGACTCTGTCCTTCCTCAGAAAATTCTCCTCTCAGGAAGCTGGGGTAGGGGAGGGTGTCCTAGCCCCATCCTTCCCTCTTTGCCAGATCTCACACCCCAGGATGCCCACTTCCTGCAAGGGACAAGGGATAGTGGCCAGGTCCCTCTGCTTCAGGCTTATGAAGAAAGCTGCCCTCGTGGATTGCACTGGCTCTGACATTGCATCTCCACTTCTCTTCTCCAGGTCTTAGCTTACTTTGAAGACGTAAAATCTCTTTTCTGGTGTGTGGATCTGTCCCTGGGGTTACACTCCAATCTCTCAGCTGTCCCCAGGCCTTCTGAGAGGTTAATGGCTGAAAGGATGAGCAAGCCCAGTGTGCTGCTTTCCTATGTCCACTGTGTTGGGGAGGGAGAGAGATTGTCAAGAGGCCACAGAGGCTGAAGGGCACTGAGGTTTACTAAAGACACTCTGTTTTGATGGATCCATGAATATTCAAACATGCAAATGACATACCACATCTACAAGTCCCAAATCTTAAACCCTCATTTGGGGGTGGCCTGGTGATTTATTTCTGTGCAGAAAATGGCTCTGCAGAGTGAGTCATCTATCTCCTATCTGACCCTTCCATCCCATTACTTGATAATTGTTTCCATAGATTATGACTTACATTGCAAGGGAAGGGATGGATTCTTTTCCTCTTTGTCTCTCCTTTTCTTTCCCTCACACTCTCCACTTCTCCCCCCTCTTTCTTTCTTCTTTTTTTCTTTCTTTATCTCTTTTTTGTCTCTATTTCCCTTACCCTCCTCCTCCTCTTTCTATCTCTTTCTCTCCTTTCTTAACTATAATGCTATGGTAAAATTTAAATCTATACAAACAGAAAGAATAGAATATTGAACCATTATGGTTTCATTCCTAATTTTCAACAGTTATCAAGCCACGGCCAACCTTATTTCATCTATCTTCCCACCTAACCACTCCCTAACTTCCAAATTATTTTGGGCCAAATATAAGAAAACATCATTTCAAGAAATATCTCTTAAAGGCAAGGACTCATACTTTTATGCTTAAAACAATCTTATAGTTCAGGAGGTCAGAAGTCTGAGATGGCCTCATGGGCTAAAATCAAAGTATTGGTAGAATTGCCTTCCCTTTTGAGGCTTTAGAAGAGAATCCAGTTCTTGTAATTTCCAGTTTCTATCTTTTCACTTGCTTTTCCACTGTTGCGGATCAAACCTAGGGCTTCAGGTTTGCTGGGCAAGCATTTTACCATTGAGCCACACCT